TTGGGCTGTACCCGTTTTGTTTTGTTTGTAGGTAGGGTCATCCACCTAGCCGTCTACCTCTGCCTCCCACGTGTTGGGGTTACAGGTGTGCTGCTGGCCCAGCTTTTGTGCCTCTTCTAACTGGAAAGCCACTGTCCTGGAGTAAAGGAGCCAGTTGTGCCGTGTCCCTGTAACCTCAGCACTCAGGAGGCCAAGGCAGGAGAGCCAAGAATTCAGGGTCGTCCTTGGCTGTATAGAGAGTTCAGCGCTAGCCACAGATATTTGAGACTGCTTATTTATCCGTTCATATATCCATCCGTTGGTTTTTGAGGCAGAGTCTTCTCTAGGTAGCACTGGCTGGCCTAGAACTTGCTGTGTAGATCAGGCTGGCCAGTCACTCAGAAGTCTATCTGCCTCTGTCTGAGAGTTGAGATCAGAGGTGTGCACCACCACTCCCAGCTAGAACTTTGCTGTAAAAAAAACAAACAAAAATCAAAACTGCCCATACATAATCTGTTTTAGACTACCTAAGACGTTTAGTTAAAAATATTTCTGGTAAGTATTTGATTTTTAACTTCTTTCTGGGCCAGTCAGGCTTGCTACACAGTTAAATTTATATGTTAAAAAAATTACCTATAGTTGGGAAAAAAATTCCCTTCATGAAATCACCTTGGGATTTTTTTTTTATTTTTTTATTTTTATTTTTATTTTTTTTTGAGACAGGGTTTCTCTGTGTAGCCCTGACTGTCCTGGAATTGCTTTGTAAACCAGTCTGGCCTTGAACTCTGAGATCTGCCTACCTCTGACTCCCAAGTGCTGGGATTCACCTTGGAATTTTAACTCTATCTCTGCTTGTGATAGAAATCTGTGTTACCAGACATTTGACTGGACTGAATTTCAGAAAAGAACTGGCACCTTCTCTGTTGAGAGAAGAGAACTCTGAACTCTATAACCATTTTAATGGAGTAGTGATGGAAAAGTAAGTGTACCATGAAAGTCGCTCTTGCCTGGTTCATTGTATTTTAGAGACACTAGAACAGCATTAGTGGGAGCCGTTTCTAACCTGACCTAGAACACAGGATGTGTGTGCTTGATTCTGTGTGGACATCAGTAAGTACAGAAACCTGTTTGGTTCCTGTTGTTGAGTAGTCTCCTGGAGAGGAGTGCCCAGCCCCTTGACCACTCCTTCTCTTCTTTCTGTACTGAGGTTCCTTGTCCTGGGGACTGGATGCCATTACAGCACCATGCTAAAGAACTCCTGATTTCCCAACTTAATTGTTTTGCTGTTGTTGTTTTGTGTGGTTGGTTTGCTTTTGAGACTTGGTTTCACTATACATCCCTGGCTGGCCTGAATTTCTTACACAGAGCAGGCCAGCCTCAAACTTAGAGATCCACTTGACTCTACCTTGAGTGCTGAGCTTAAAGGCACATGCCACCATATCAGACTTGGATTGATTTTTAGGAGCAATATTAAAAGGCAGGTAGACAGGCAGGCACATTCCACGTGGTGACTTTTAACCCTAGAAGGCTTCTAAGTAGTGCCTAAGTATCCATCGTCCTAAGGTAAGAGATTGTGTTGTGTCTGTGGGATTAGTGAGCTAACTGTGCTCCTGATTCACTGTGAGTCGGAAGCTGTTGCTTCATGCAGGCTTTTGGCGTTATTGGCCTATTGGCTAGAGAAGGACTCTTCTGGATTTGGATCCAGAATGACCCCTTAAGTTTATTTGAAATGTATCCCCTTGGTGATAGGGTTTCGATTTAGGAAGATTTACTACTTTAATTAATATTTTAGTGAAGCTGAGCATTTGTTTGGGGTCATTGAGTGAGATGGGGTCCTGTTTTGTCCAGGTTGGTCTTGACCTCCTGGGTTTAGGTGATTTTCCTGCCTCAGCTTCTCAAGTCGCTGGGACCGTAGGTGTTGGGCACTGCTTCTCCTAGCGTATTCTGATAGTCAAGGGGGACTGCCACACTCGGCTTTGAACCCAGAAATGAAATGGGATTTCCCTTGGAGGGGAGCTAACTACTGTGTGTGTGTGTGTGTGTGTGTGTGTGTGTGTGTGTGTGTGTGTGTGTGTCTGTACTCCTGGCAGGACAGTCTTGAATGCCCTTTCTTAAGAATGTTGTCCACCCACCTTATGTAGAAACAGTCTCTCACTGCCTGGAACTTGTTAAAGCGTAGACTGGCTCCTCCTCTCTGGTCTCCTCAGCACCAGGGTTATAAGTGTGCACCGCCACACCCAGTCTTTTTTTCTTTCTTTCTTTCTTTTTGGTTTTGTGAGACAGGCCTTTTCTGTGTTGTCCTGGCTGTCCCGAACTCACTTTGTAGACCAGGCTAGTCTCAAACTCAGAGATCCGCCTGCCTCTGCTTCCCCAGTGCTGGGATTAAAGTAGTGTGCCACCACTGCCCAGCTAAATACCCAGTTTTTTAAATGTTGGTTCTGGGGGTTGAACTTGTTGCACGTTACCAGCTGAGCTGTCTCTGGAGTCTCTCCTGTGATGTGTGTGGAAGTCAGAAAACAACTCGTTGGAGCCTTTTTCTTCTCTTTTCTTCTCTCCCCCGGAGCTGAGGACCGAACCCAGGGCCCTGCGCTTGCTAGGCAAGTGCTCTACCACTGAGCTAAATCCCCAACCTGCCTTTTTATTTTCTAAGCTGTGTTGGCCCTGAGGATTGAATTCAGGTTGTCAGGCTTGGAGGCAAAGGCCCTCCCCCGACCCCTACCGCTTGGTTTTGACCTGAGTGTAGACGTCATTCTCCGTGAGAACTCCCCATCCAGGTACTGTTCCGATCTTTGTCTGTTGGAAGCAGGTGGCTCTGTTGGACATCGCACAGGCAGGAGTTGGGGTGGAGATTTCCAGTCAAGTTTCTGATCAGGTCTACTCTCCTGCAGCTGTTTCTGGTCTTTGACTATCTCCTCTTTCCTTTCTTCACTCCAGGACATTGAAAGACTATTAAAATTACTTCTTATTCACAGTGGATTTTGGGTGTCTCTACAAGGAGTTCAAAACTAGGCCTTCCTGTGACTTGCCATGCTAGCTTGACTTTAGGTTTGGCTTGGTACACATGGTCTCCCATCTATACTGTGGCCTACTGAGAACCTCCTTGGTCCCTAATTACGTTAATTCCTTTATTTAGAGGCAGTTCCTCTGTGGACTGACTAATTGACTTTATTCTTTTTTTCCCCTCTTTAGATTTATTTTTGCTTTTGTTTCTGTGTGTCTGTGTGCCACATGTGTGTGGGTGCCTATGAAGGCCAGAAGAGGGCATTGAATTCCCTGGAACTCGAGTTCCAGGCTGTTGGGAGCAGCCTGGTGTGGGAGCTGTAAGGGCAGCCAGTGCTTTTGACTCTGAGGCGTCTCTGCAGTCCTTTCTCTTCTGTCTTTCCTGTCTGGCAGTTCGCATTCATGGTGCCCGTGCTCTTTTGGCTTCCATGTGTAGAGATCAGGAAAGGAGATTTTCTTGGGACCAAGCTTTGGAGGACTTGCTGTTCTCGAGCTCCGGTTATATCTTAGTCAGTCTAGTGTTCTACGTCAGTCACTTCCCTCATTTCAGTCCTATCTGAAGTGTAGCAAACAGCAATGGGCAGCTAGCTCTAGGGTTCACATGCTAGGTGTTGTGTGACCAAGTCAGGAGGCAATTTCTCACGTGGTATTCATTCTCTAATCAGGTCCCATGGGTGTGACTACTGCCAGGTACAGGTGAACTGTGGCCTGTGAGTCATATCTAGCCTAGAGCTTGTTTTTGAATGCCTCACAAACTGAGAATGATTTTATATTCTTAAAAGGCTGTAAAGAAAATTACGAGAATGAGAAGGCACACACAAACTAGAAGAAAATATTTCACTAGAGACAGAGTTCTTGAACCCAACAGTAAAAGGAAAAGTCTAATTGAAAAAAAGTAAGGCTAGGCTTGTGAATGGCTCATTGGTAGAATGTAGGCTTACCATACCTTCAGCACCATTGTCCCAAAGTCAAAGGACCTAAACAGACACCTCAGCCAGGAAGATACACAAATGGCAAGGAGGCTTCTGAACACGTGATCAGCATGAGGACTTGTGAGAATTGCAAATGCTTACTAGAGTAGCCAATTCTAAACTGACAGCACCAAGTGCGGCAGAGGTGTGGAGCAGCAGCAGGTCTTCAGTGCTGGTGCAAACTCCAGATGGGTGGAGCCACTGTGGAAGAAGTTTGGCAGCTTCTTTTTTTTTTTTTTTTTTTTTTTTTTTTTTTTGGGTTTCTCGAGACAGGGTTTCTCTGTGTAGCTTTGCGCCTTTCCTGGAACTCACTTGGTAGCCCAGGCTGGCCTCGAACTCACAGAGATCCGCCTGGCTCTGCCTCCCGAGTGCTGGGATTAAAGGCGTGCGCCACCACCGCCCGGCGAAGTTTGGCAGCTTCTTAAAGAGTCAAACATACCCTTAGCGCATGATCCAGCAGTCGTCACACTGTGGCGTGAAATGCATGCATGATCCAGCAGTCACACTGTGGGGTGAGATGCATGCATGATCCAGCAGTCGTCACACTGTGGGGTGAGATGCATGCATGATCCAGCAGTCACACTGTGGGGTGAGATGCATGCAAGATCCAGCAGTCACACTGTGGGGTGAGATGCATGCAAGATCCAGCAGTCACACTGTGGGGTGAGATGCATGCATGATCCAGCAGTCACACTGTGGGGTGAGATGTGTGCATGGAAACTTGTGGTACTTCTTGCTCAGTGTTGCTATGAACCTAAAACTTCTAAAATATAAAGTAATTTTTGTTGTTGTTTGTTTTAATTGGTCTGAGAGTAGAGATCAGTGGTGAAGGCCATGCTAAGCACCCTTGAGGCCCTGGGTTTCATTCCCACTTCCACTAACAAAGAATATTGTATAAAAGGAGACTGTAAGTTGGCATTTCACAGAGAGTGTTTATGTAGGGGATGAAGTGTTCAGGGTCTCTGGTCCCTGTCCAATCCTCCAGACCTCCTGGGCATGCAGAGCCTCTAATTATAAAGCGGTTCTTTTGAATTTTGGTTTTGTTTACAGGTATATGAATGACCTAAAGCTGCAAGTAAAGACGGAGAGAGAACGGTGCCAACTGGGAGCAGGGCAAGGATGCCAATTCCTCCTCCCCCCCCACCCCCGCCTGGTCCTCCCCCACCTCCCACTTTTAATCAGGTACGTAATCTCTCCACTAGGCTGTCTTCAAACCTTTAAGTAAATCAGTAGACTCCCACACTGGTTTGTTCCTTTTCTTTTCAGTCCTCTTTGTTTAAAACTTCAAGATTTTCATACCTAATCACTCCTTTACTCTGAGCTTGCTCTTTAGTTCTATTTCTTTAATTTCTTTCATATTTACTTTACAGGTATGAGTGTTTGGCCTGCATGTATGTATGTGCACCACATGTGTGCCTGGTGCCCCAGGAGGCAGGAGAGGACTTCAGGATCCTCTGGAACTGGAGTTAGAAGCAGCTGTATGGCCAGATACGGGTGCTGGGAACTGAACCTGGGTCCTCTGAAAGAGCAGCAAATGCTCTTAACCACCGAGCCACCTCTCCAGCACCCACCCCTCTTGTGGTTTTGGTTTTGGTTTTGTTTGTAACAGGAACTTGGTATGTAGTCCAGGCTGGCCTTGTACTTGTTGAGTAGTCCAGGCTGGTCTTAAACTTTAGGTCCTCTTGCCTCTTTCCCCCAAGTTCTGGGATTATAGATATGAGATAACCATGCCCACTAATCTTTTTATACCATCTATAATTTTAATATATATTTGAACTTGTAACTAGATTTTTTTTTCCCTAGCATTTTGAGACAGGATCTCGCTGTGTGAGTGGCTGAGAGCTTGCTCTGTAGGTCAGACTGGCCCCTAAATTGCAGAGTGACCCTTCTTCCTCTGCCTTCTGCATGCCTTCCAGATTGGAGGCCTGAGCCACTGCCCAGCTGCATCCTGGATTCTTGCAGATGCTTAGGAGACACATCTAATAGCAGGCAGCGTAGGGAGATAGAGAACACACAAGCCTGGGTCTCAGCTGGTTTGGACTTCTGAGAGGTCCTCTGAGGACTGCACTGACAGTTTGTTTCCTTGTCCTGATTCATTCCAAATGGAGATTTAGACACATGGAGTTGGAGCTAGTGTTTCTCCCTAAGCTTCCAGACAGGGTCTCTCTGTGTAGCCCTGGCTGTCCTGGAACTCACTCTGTAGACCAGGCTGGCCTTGAACTCAGAGATCCACCTGCCTCTGCCTCCTGAGTGCTGGGATTAAAGGATGTGCGTCACACTATGCCTGGCTTATTTATTATGTTTAAAGATTTAGTTTTTATTATTTTTAATTGTGTGTAGCTGTGTGTGTGTCTGCATATGGGTGTGTACACTGGAGTGCAGTAGCCCTCAGATGCCAGAGGATCCCAGGAGCTAGAGTTACAATTGTTTTTTTTTTTTTTTTTTTTTTGTGTGTGTGTGTGTGTGTGTGTGTGTGTGTGTGAGCTGCTGACATTGATTGAGCAGACAGTGCTCTCACTACCGAGCCATCTCTCCAGCCCCTGTTGTTTTGAGACAGGGTTTCCTAGCTCCGGTGCTGGGACTTAAAGGTGTGCACCCCATGCTCAGCCTTTGCTGTTTTGTCTTTAAGACAGGGTCTTACTGTGTAGCCTAAGCTGGTCTGCATGTGAATAGTTCTCCTGGCTCAGCCTCCTACCAGACTCTGCTTTCATCTAAACAGTTTTTGCACTTTTCCTTCATATGCCAGGCACTGTAGAGCAGTGAGCAGTGGTCCTGTTGTCCTGAAGCTATACAGTCTATAGTTTTAATCTTTACTAACTTAATGCATAAACTGTATTATAGTTTAGCCTTTCTTTTTATTTTTAAAAATATTTTTAAATTAAAAAAAATTACTATGTGAATGAGTGTTTTGTTTGTATGTATGTGCACAGCATGCATGCCGGTATCTACAGAGGCCAGAGTGGGATGTTTGATCTGGGGCAGGAGTTATGAGTGGTTGTGAGTTGACTGATGTGGATGCTGGGAACTGAACTCATGTCCCTTGAAAGAGCAGAAAATATTCTTAACGTCTGAGCCATTTCTTCAGACCCTGTATTCTTTTTAATTTTAGTATTGCTGAAAATTTTTAAATATTTATTTGCTGTTTCATTTATTTTTCATTGCTGTGTCCTTTGGTTAAACTGTTGGTTTGTAAAACATTTTTCTATGTTAAGGTTCTGCAGATTTCAGTCCTTCCCTGTGCTTTAGCTGTTGTTAGAAACCGTGAGCCTTTGCTCATAGTTGCATTCACTATTGCTTAGGCTGGACTTGAACTCCAGATTCTGCTGCCTCGGTCAGCTGAGGTTAGCAGGGGTATCGGTATGTGCTATCACACTCACCTTTAGAGTGGTTTTAATTTTTAATGGTCTACAAAAAGTTTCATTGAGAGCTTAAAACGCTCTTTCCGTGGACTAGCAGGATGGCTCCGCTGGTAAAGATGGTTCCCAAAGCCTGGCAACTTGAGTTTGATCCCATGGTAGAGAGAGAGAGAGCTGACTTCTGAAAGTTGTCTTCTGACCTCCATATGTGAGCACACGCAGGTGTGTGTGCACGTGCATGCACACATAGACACATAGGATAAATAAATGGAGAAAATGAAAAGCAGCTCTACACTTAATAGTAATTAACACTGTTAAGATTTAACAGATGAACTGGGGCTAGTGCTCAATGATAGAGCACTTGCCTAGAATGCACAGTGCCCTGTGTTTGATCCCCAGCACTAACACACACGCACATGCACACATACATATAGGTCTAACAAATACATTCAGAACCATGACAGTGGTGTGTTACATTTGAGGTGTGTGTAGGTTTTTCATTTGAATATGTACTGTACTTGCTGGTATGTATGTGACGCTCAGATCAGACATGAGAGTGACACAAAAAAAATCTATGGGACAGGGAGACAGGGAGATGGACCCCTCAGACAGTAAAGTGCTTTCATCCTAAGTGTGAGGACCTCAGTTTATTCTAGCACATATGTTAAAAAAAAAAAAAGCTGGGTATAGCAGGAGCTAGAGTTGAATGGATCTCTCTGAGTTCAGGCCAACCAGGGCTACATAGTGAGACTTGGTCTCAAAAATAAAATAGAAAGAAATACAAAAAATAAAAGTAGAGAGCAGTCGAGGAAGATATGTGATGTCAATCTCTGGTCTTCACATGCATGTGCACACACATACATATACATGATCATGTCTAGTCTACCCCACACACAGAGAGATTTAGTGTGCAAACCCTGATTGGCTTTTTCAGAAACATTTAGATGGAGGCTAAGGATAGAACTCTGGGAGGTGACATAAGAGGAACATGAAGGACCTGAAAAGGAACAGGGTGTGGAAAGAGACGGGGACTCTGAGGCAGTGACATCAGCATTTAAAACTTAGCTCAGGTTTGACAGGCACAGGCTCTCGCTGTGCAAGCCTGACACCTGTGTTCATTCTCAGGACCCCAGGACAGGTGCCCTCTGACCTCGCATACACAGTGATGACAGAGAACATTTTGAAGTTTAAAATACTGGTTCTGGTGTCTGTTAGTCATGTGCCCTGGACGTTCTAGAACCGTTACTTCCTCATTTTGGAGAAGGACTCTCAAGGTCTACTGTATAACATCGTGTAGAAGGCAGAGTAATAGGAGGCAGCAGACTGTGCTGGGATGAGATTCTGCAGCGTCAGCGTTGGGCGGTGGGTTTTTTTTTTTTTTTTTTTCAGAGCTGAGGACCGAACCCAGGGCCTTGTGCTTGCTAGGCAAGCACTCTACCACTGAGCTAAATCCCCAACCCTGGCTGTGAATTCTTGTCTGACCAATTACTAGTTGCATGACCATCGGAAACTCTTCAGCTTCTGATCCACACTTTTCAGATGTGGATAATGATAATCATACCTTTCTGTGGGAGTATTTCAGGTTTTAAATGAGGTCATCTAAGTAATACTTAGTACAATGCCCGAGGCATGGTAGGTGCACAGTAAAAGCTTGTGCTGGTGATAGTGCCATGTTAACATGTCCAAGACACAAATTCACCGTTAGTCTTGCTCTCCCTTCAGAAGCTTGTGAATAGGAGGGAGGTCTGTGTTTTTCACAGGAGGAAGCAGGGAATTTGGAAGAATGATGGTGCACATTCACATTGTTACTTGGCACATATATCTGAATGTGTTGCAATGACACCTTTTTGTTTGTTTGTTTATTTTTAAGATTTATTTATTACGTATACAGTGTTCTGTCTGCACGTATCCCTGCAGGCCAGAAGAGGGCACTAGATCTCATTATAGATGGTTGTGAGCCACCATGTGGTTGATGGGAATTGAACTCAGGACCTCTGGAAGAACAGCCAGTGCTCTCAACCTCTGAGCCATCCCTCCAGCCCCTGCAGCGACATCTTATAGAATCCCTTGGCTTAAGTCATTTATTCCAAGCTTATGATAAAAGGAGCTCTTTAGGGTAAAGTTACACATTTCCTTCTTCCTCCAGGCAAACACAGAGCAGCCCAAACTCAGTAGAGATGAGCAGCGGAATCGAGGGGCCCTCTTACAGGACATTTGCAAAGGGACCAAACTGAAGAAGGTGACCAACATTAACGATCGGAGCGCTCCCATCATCGAGAGTGAGTCTATGCTTTTGGCCTGGGGTAGAGTCAGGGTCCCAGGATTGGAAGACTTCTGGACCGTCGCGTTCATTGTAGTCTCTCCAGTGGGAAATGGTGTCCTGGGTATCTTGACTTCCTTCCCCGCGGTGGAGTTGAATGTGATGAAAGTTCTCCTGAACTCTTTTCCGGGTGAAAACTCCTCCCCTGGTGCCGATAGTGTTTGTCGAGGCACAGCCGTGGCTCTTCTCTTAGGAGACGACCACATTCCTGGAAGCCTCCTGGCTGAAGCCAAGGATGGCTTACAATTGCTGTGCATGTCTGTTCTTGTAGTCCTCAGCAAAGTTTGCTCGCGCTTCATCCCCCTGAGCCACTAGCCTTGTGGGGAAGAGCGCCCAGAGAACAGTCGAGCATATCTATTTTAATTGAGTTGTTCTCCTTCCCCTAAATAAGAGCGACTCCTCCTTCCTTCCCTTTGTCCGTTTAGTTTGCTTGTTTCTTGTAATAACCCTTGCGTGAAGGTGTGCAGCCGCAAGGCCTGGGGGTTCGTGGGTTGGTCTGTGTGTTTTGGTGGTAGTGATGCTGGTGTGGCTGCCGCTTCTTGGTAGATTGGTTTGTGAAGTAGAGCCTAGGTAGAGGAATTGTTTCATCTCAGGCTTGACTTGGTCGGCAGCTCAGAGCGTGTGAAATGAAAACCTTCCCTGTGCCTTCCAGAGCCCAAAGGGAGTGGTGGCGGCTATGGCCCTGGAGCTGCTGCTTTGCAACCCAAGGGAGGTCTCTTCCAAGGAGGAGTGCCGAAGCTGCGACCCGTGGGAGCCAAGGATGCTTCAGGTAACTGAGAAATGACCTCCTGGGCTATCTTGTAGCTGTGTCTGTTTCCTGGACTTGCTCCAAGTATGCTGTCTCAGGTTGAGAACTGGAGTTGAGGGTGGAAGAGGGAAGAAACAGGAGTAGTTGCCCAGTAAAGCAAAGGTGAGGGTAAATAAACGGCGTTTAACTTAGGTAGAGAAAATGTGAGCTGGTGGTGTGGTGCGTGACTGCAGTCCCACTTGCAGGGCTGAGGCTGGAAAATCACAAGTTTGAGGCCAGACTGAACCACAATTGTGAGAACCTGCCTTAAAGAAACAAAAGAAATTTTAAGTCCTGGGTTATAGCTCAGTGAATTGAAGACTTGCTAGTGTGTATAAAGACCCGAGTTCAGTCCCTAGCACTGCATAAACCAAACTAGGTAGTACGCATGTGTAATTCCAAAACTTGGGAGGTAGAAGCAGGAGAATCTCAGACATTCAAGGTCATCCTTGGCTACATACTGAGTCTGAGGCCAGCCTAAGTTACATGATACCCAGTCTCTAAATACGCAAATCACTACATTCAGAATATTCACACACACACACACACACACACACACACCCCCCAAGTGTGCGCACATGCGCATAGGTGTCTAGTGAAATAAGCCAGAAACAGAAAGACAAGCTGGGCATGGTGGCCTTTAATCTCAGCACTCAGGAGGTAGAGGCAGGCAGATCTCTGAGTTTGAGGCCAGCCTGGTCTACAGAGGAGTTCCAGGACAGCCAGGGCTACATAGACACCCCTCCCCTCCCCCAAAAAAGGTAAAATAAATGTAATTCAGTTCAATTGTATTCAGCTTATGTCAACAGGCCCTGAATCTGAAACCTGATTAAAACTCAGAAGTAGGGCTAGCGATCTAGCTCAGCAGTAGAGCAAGTGCTTTGCATGCCTGACACTCTGAGCTTGATCCCAGGGCCACAGGAAAGCAAACAAACCCAAGACCTTTGCCGGTACTTCCTCCGCTGTTGTACAAGGTGCACTGAGGAGGCCGGGTCAACCGGAGACCTGAGCGATACACACTTAACTGTTAATCCGGTGTTGTCTGGTGTATTTGTAGAGACTCTAGCTGGTAAGCCAGCCCTACAAGTTCCCAGTTCTCGAGCTGCTGCTCCAAGGCCTCCAGTGTCTACAGCCAGTGGGCGTCCTCAAGATGATACCGACAGCAGCCGAGCCTCCCTCCCAGAACTGCCCCGGATGCAGAGACCCTCTTTACCGGACCTCTCTCGTCCCAATGCCACTAGCGGTACAGGCATGAAACATAGCTCCTCTGCTCCTCCCCCACCGCCTCCAGGGCGCCGTGCCAACGCGCCCCCTACCCCTCTACCTATGCACAGCAGCAAGGCCCCGGTCTACAACAGGGAGAAACCCTTGCCTCCAACACCTGGACAGAGGCTGCACCCCAGCCGAGAAGGACCTCCTGCTCCACCTCCTCTAAAACCGCCTCCTTCCCCTGTGAATATCAGAACGGGACCAAGTGGCCAGTCTCTGGCTCCTCCCCCACCGCCTTACCGCCAGCCTCCTGGGGTCCCCAATGGGCCCTCAAGCCCCACTAATGAGTCAGCCCCCGAGCTGCCACAGAGACACAATTCTTTGCATAGGAAGACACCAGGGCCCGTCAGAGGCCTTGCACCTCCTCCACCCACCTCAGCCTCCCCCTTTTTGTTGAGTAACAGGCCACCTCCGCCGGCCCGGGACCCTCCTAGTAGGGGAGCGGGTAAGTGTTTGGAAGCTTTTTCTCTCTTTGCTGTTTCTAAGAGCATCTCTTCAGTGATTAGAACAAGAATTCATGTATTCATCCGGTTTATTGGTGCCTTTTTATGTACTGGTAATGGTGAGGGAAGAGAGAAAAACTTGTGCACAACCTAGTAACTAGATATAAATAACGGTGTGTAGTGTGTTCTAGAGAAAGCCAAACCAGGGAAGAAGACACATAGGGAAGGATGGTGGGGTTTTGAATTGGGGGAGAGGGTAGACTGAGAAGAAACTTAGCCTGTCTGGTGACAGTGAAGAAGGTCTGAGGTTGGACTGTTCCTGACAAGGGCTAGCAGGGAGGTCATTGTGAAAGGACTGGATGAGTGAGGGGGTGGCCAGAACGGAAGTGGGAAGCTGGACCCCCAGGAGAGTGTGGAGCGTGGAGGTCTTCAGGAGGCTTGGGCTCACTGCTCCCACACCACTGGGTTGTTGGTGTTTTGAGACATGGTCTCTACGTGTATCCTTGGCTGGCCTGGAACTTGCTATGTAGACCAGATTAGCCTTGAACTCATGGAGATCTGTCTGCCTCTGCCTCTGGGATGCTGGGATCAAAGGTGTGCACTAGCATACCTGACTCTAAATAAATTTTAACTAAAATTAAAACAAAACAAAAAACCAATTGCTAGCTGGGCATAGAGTTTTAATCCCAACACTTGGGAGGCAGAGGCAGGCAGATCTCTTGTGAGTTCAAGACCAGTCTGGTCTACAGAGCGAGATCCAGGACAGCTAGGACTGTGTTACACAGAGAAACCCTGTCTCGAAAACCAATCAACGAACCAACAACAACAGACATGTTCGTGGTGGCTCAATGGTTAAGAGTACTAACTGCGCTTCCACAGCACCTAGATTGCTTTCCTAGCACCCACACATCGGCTCACAGCCGTCTGTCTCGTTAATTTCAAGAGATCTGATGTTCTCTTCTGGTCTCTGAGAGCATCAGGCACATGGTGCACATTCAGACACACAGGCACACACATACGCATAAATAAAAATAAATACAAACGATGTTGCAGGTAGACTTGCGCTCTCAGCAGCAGTCTTTTAGAGGACACCCCAGACAGCAACCTGATAACAGGGGACGTGGTATTTCCCTGCCTATAGCCATAGGTAGCTCAGGATTCTGTGAAGTTCAGGTTTAAAGAAAAAAATGCACAGCAGGTTGGGGTTCAGCTGGAGAGAGGGTGGCTCAGTAGTCGCATGCTGGCCGCTCTTCAGTTCCCTGCACCCAGTGCCAGGGGACACCGAAGAGTACTCTTTTCTGACTTCTCCTGGCACGAGGTGTACTCATGGTTCATACACACATGCAGGTAAACAGGCATACGCATAAGTAAATCTAAAATAAATAAAAGTTTTTAACTTGGAGATTTTAAAAGACTTTTTTTAAAGCTACGTTTTTTTGTTTTTTTTTTTAATTTTTATTTTATGTGCATTGTTGTTTTGCCTGCATGTATGTCTGTGTGAGGGAGTCAGATCCCCTAGAACTGGAGTTACAGACTATTGTGAGCAGCCACGTAGGTGCTGGGAATTGAACCCAGGTCCTCTGGAAGAGCAGCCAGTGTTCTTTACCACTGAGCCATCTCTCTAGCCACCTTAAAAGACTGGTCATGTGAATAATCCCATATATTTATAATCCCATTCTGTAATAAAAGCTGAGAAAATGAAATTGATACATGGTTGAGGTGAGTAGTTTCAAGTGCCTGCAGATTTCCTGCTTTTCATATGTTATGGGTTGTATTCTGTCCAGTAAACCATGAGCAGCATGAGCTAGAAGAGGCCTCAGCCTGCTGCCCCTCACTAGCCAGGGCAGCAGACTGGATAGCCAGCCCACAGTCTTTCGAGCAGGGGCTGTATTTGTTGTGTAACATTGGCAAATTTCTCTGAGTCTCTTGAGTTTGTTGTGTGTGTGTGTGTGTGTGTGTGTGTGTGTGTGTGTGTAAGCTAGAAGTGTCTGTAAAAGTGCAGTGCGCTGATAAACTTGTTTTATGTAAAGGGCGTCTAAGTAATTCATGGACTTATTGCTATTACATCACATTGTGACAGTGTTGTACGCAAATGCATATTTGTTTCTGTGGAGGCTGAGCAGGAAGCAGCATGTTCCAGATGAGCCTGGTCTACAGAGTGAGTTCCAGGACAGCCAGGGCAACACACACAGAAACCCTGTTTTGTTACAAAAAAAAAAAATGAGCCCCATCTTAAAAATAAAAAAAAATAAAAAGCAAAACAAACCCCCCAAACACCCAACAGACGCCAACTAAACAGACAAATGAGAGCGAGGGAGCCGAGCAGCAGCTCTGGATCGGAGACTTACCTTGCCACCCCAAGGCTCGCTTCGGAGAGTCGGAGGCTCTCTTTAATTTTCCATGATTTGTTTGTTTGCTTTGTTTTGTTTTTTTGAGACAGAGTTTCTCTGTGTAGCCCTGCTGTCGTGGGACTCTGTAGACCAGGCTGGCCTTGAACTCAGAGCTCCACCTGCCTCTGCCTCCCAAAGTGTTACAAAGCGTGCACCACCACTACCTGGTATTCTATGATTTTTTTTTATATCAGTGTATAAAACAAGGAATTTCATCACAGCATTTCTCTCCATCTGATTCATTGTGCGTTTCTCACATTTGCTCCCTCGCTAGCCTTCCGCAGGTTGCTTTCTTACTCTGTCTCTCAAACTCTCTCTCCTTCGCCAGCTCCAACCCAAGCCTAACCGCTTTGGATTTTAATTGCAGCTCCTCCACCCCCACCGCCCATGGTCCGAAATGGGGCCAGGGATGCTCCCCCTCCCCCACCACCTTACCGAATGCACGGATCAGAACCTCCAAGCAGAGGAAAGCCCCCACCTCCACCCTCAAGGACGCCAGCTGGACCACCCCCTCCTCCACCACCACCCCTGAGGAATGGCCATAGAGACTCCATCACCACTGTTCGTTCCTTCTTGGGTAAGTAGTCAGTGATTTGTTTGTTTGGTTTTTCAAGACGGGCTTTCACTGTGTAGCTCTGGCTGTCCTGGAACTCACTCTGTAAACCAGGTTGGCCTCAAATTCAAAGAGATCTGCCTGCTCCTGCCTCTCAAGTTCTGGGATTAAAGGTGTGCACCCCCACCCCCCAGCTAATAGTGACTTTGTCTTGTAGTTGCAGTGGTGACTTCACTGACTCTGGTGCCTTAGCTGCCAGAGGGCTCCTATAGTTGGAGAACAGCCAGGAGCAGTCCCTGTTGACAGCAGTTCCCCTCCTGACTTTTCCTCTGACTTCTGCTTCCAATCCATTGACATCAGGGGTCATGCTAATTCTAAAACTGCTCTCAAGTTCCCACAAGAATCACTGATCAGGCCTTCCATCAGCGACTGTCCTCTTTATTCACCTATGTCCTAGAATTAGGTATCTAAGGAGGGGGTTCCTTCCTGGTTATTTAAAAACTCAAGAGGCTCAGTGATGCAGCACTGGCCTATCATGTGAAGGTACTGGGTTCAAGCCCACAGTACAAAAACAGCACAAAAAGCCAAACATGCTTAGCTGATGGAGGCCTTCAGTGTGAGCCCCTGCACTACAAAAACAGAATATACAGAGGCCAGGGGTGAACCAGCTCTGTGTTTTTGAGGAAGTCATTTCATTTCTTTGGACTCCGTTTTTATTATGTACAGAACCGGGAAATTGACTAGATCAGGAGCATATCGAATCAACTTTCTGTGAGTCTGTGGAAATCCAGCTCTGGCCTGCTTCCACCTATCAAAGGGTTCTTGGGTAGAGGAGAGAGGAGTGAGGAAATAATAGTTAGAAAGAGAGACCTAGACAGTGAGGAGAAAGACAGACACAGGATAGCTTCGGGAGGTCCCTGGGTCAATACCCAACTCCTCAGAGCTTTATTCAAAAGGACTTTTTATAATATGCCAAGGGGAGAGGCAAAAGACCATCCCCTTGCAAGTTCAAAGCACACCGTACAGCCAAGTGTAGACCCTTCCAAACACCTGGTAAACATGCCACTGGCCAAATCATCCTGTTATGCAGCCCTACTGGGTAAAGCAAGCTCAGATTCTCTGACCCTGAGTAAGGTCTCACTAGGAAGCCTCTGTGGGCCACCACAACTTTCCAAGCTTTTAAGTGTTGAGGTCTTTACTTAAGAGAATTCACCTCATGGTCTGGAATAGAGCCATAAGTAAAAGTTGTCCAGAGGTGTTATCAGGCTCTGTTGAAGACTTGTGGAATAGATCGTGAGGTCTCTTGAAACTTAATACTCCAGATTCTCCAGTGGGTGCTCCTCCATCACTACCCACAACACAGTCCAGCCTGTTCTTAACAGACGCACCAGGGTTTTGCTTTGAACATACAGCCTATTGTAGAAACCTTTGAATGTAGTGGGGCACCATGCATGTGTCTGTAATCCCAGAGCACAGGGTTTAGTGGACACAGGAAAATCTTAAATTCAAAACCAGTCTGTAATACATAGCAAGACCCTATCTAAACAAAAAAGAAAGCTCTAACTAGAAAAAGGAACTCCGGAAGTGTGATCAAGCCAAAGCCCTAAGACTTTTGAATCTTATGAAGGGGTCATAGAAAGTAGGAATGGAGCAGGACATGGCTGACTGAACTGTGGTTGCAGAGCATGATAGGGTATCCAAGGCTGAAAGAAAGTTTTCTCGTTAAAATTCTCATTAGCTAGAGACACATTCCCATTTGAGGTTAATGACGCCAGGGCTCCAGACACTGCCTAATTTAGTCTGGTTGTGGTGGTGTACCCTTTTAATCCCAGCACTTGGGCACTTGGGAAGCAGAGGCAGGTGGATCTCTGAGTTCGAGGCCAGCCTGGTCTACAGAGTGAGTTCCAGGACAGCCAGGGCTACACAGAGAAACGCTTTTTTAACAATAATAGTACTAATAGTTATGTGTCTTAGTTTGGGGTTTCTGTTGCAGTGACCATAGCAAGTGGGGGAGGAAAGGGTTTACACTTGAGCACTGTGTTCATCACTGAAGGAGTTGGGATAGGAACTTGAGCAGGGCAAGATCTCAGAGGCAGGCTGGAGCAGAGGCCATGGAGGGTGCTACTTACTGGCCTGCTCCTCATGGCTTGCTCAGCCTGCTTTATTATAGAACCCAGGACCACCAGCCCAGGGGCAACCCCTACCCACAATTGGCTGAGCCCTCCTCCATCAATCATTAATTAAGAAAATGCCCTATAGCCAGATTTTGTGGAGGCATTTTCTCAATTGAGGTTCCCTCCTTTCAGATGACTCTACCTTGTGTCAAGTTGACATAAAACTATCTAACACATAAAGAAAGAACCTGGAGAAATAGCTCAGTAGTTAAGAGTATTGGCTACATTTTCAGAGGACCCAGGTTCAGTTTCCAGCACCAACATGGGGCCTCCACAAGAGTCTGTAATTCCTGCCTCAGAAAATCTGATGCCCTCCTCTAGCCTCTGTGGGTGCTATGTGCACATGGTACAGAAATGTACATGTAGACAAAACACCCATACACACACACACATACACAATTTAAAAGAATTAATTTTTCTCTTTCGTATGTATGTGTGCATATATATATATATGTGTACAGGTGGTTTTGGAGGCCAGGGGTCAACATTAGGTGTCTTCCTTAGTTGCTCTCCACCATATTTTTCTGAGATAAGGTCTCTACTGAATCTGGAGCTCCACAGTTGGTCTGGCTGTCTGGCCAGCAATCCCCAGTGATCCTCTGATCTCTGCTTCCACAGCCCTCAGTTACAGGCTCCTGTGAGCATACCCAGCCTTTTACATGAGCGCTGGAAACCCAAACTCAGGTCCTTATACTTACACACACACACACACACACACACACACACACACACACACACACTTCATTGACCACGCCACCTCCCTAGCCTCCAGATAAAGGGTCTTTGGATATCCACTGTACACTACAGGCACCCAGGGCGATGCTTGGTGTGTCTCAGGAACTTGGGTTTGGTGGGTAGAGCAGGCTCTCCATACAGCAGAACCTGCAGGAGATTAATAATAGGGAGGATCCTAAGAAGTCAGAAGTCTGTGGGAGGCATGACGTAATACTCTTTTCTTTCCACAGATGACTTTGAGTCCAAGTACTCCTTCCACCCAGTAGAGGACTTCCCTGCTCCAGAAGAGTATAAGCATCTTCAAAGAGTGTACCCCAGCAAAACAAACCGAGGTGCGAGGGAGTGAGGGAGCGCCATGATTGTGTGCAACATAGAGTGTGTGTGTGTGTTTTCTGGGGTCAGAATGCACTTCTGCACAGTAGAGGTCAGCAGGAGTTGGTTTTCTCCTTCACCAAGTGGATCCTGGGCTTAAACTCCGGTCAGCAGGCTGGGCAGCAAGTATCTACCCCTCAGGCCATCTCTTCAGCGTTAGTCCTTGATGTTAAAAATTGACTTCAAGAGCATGTCTCATTTCAGAAATGTTATTTAGGGCCTGGTATGTGAGCTGAATATCTGTGGTTTTTGTTTCTCCAGCTGCCCGTGGAGCCCCACCTCTGCCACCCATTCTCAGGTGAAGCCTGGCTTGGTCCTGCTCCTCAGGAAAAGGATGGACCTCCTCTTCTCAGACGGTCCCCCAACCCCTAAAACCTGCATGAGAGCTCCTACAGTGTTCCTCCAGTGCAACCAACCCTAGACTCTAAGCATCCTCCCGGCCCAGCTCCATCTGTGCATCTTATCTCTGGACCTGGTGATTGGATTCTTTCTGTTGGCAGTGGGTCTCAGGCCCTGTGCCCAGCCCTCTTCCAGCAAGCCCTGCTAGCCAGAAGAGGGGAAAGCTTCCATGTGTCCTGCTTTCTTCCAGGGAAAGGTGCCTTGTTAGGGTGAATGGACTCCCGTTGGGCAGGGTGGAAAATGGTACCCCTGTCTGCTGTTATTCACCAAGGGGGAGAATGGTGTGTGCACTAAATTCCATAGTTTAGGAGGTTGGTATGGCCAGGACTGCTGAGGAAAGGGTACTTTTCGTGAAGCAGGAAAGGGGTTTGCAGAGAGGTGATCTGTTTTAAAGGTCAGGTTACAGAAAGGACAAGGAAACGGATCTTCTTTATTTTTAAGAGTGTTTTGGTTTTGTTCTCATCCCTCTTCTCCCCTGGGGACCCCAAGGGGTAAGTTGTACATACACTAAATACTAATCAGTTGATCTACACAATAAAAGAAGGGGATGAAGTAAACTGAGAATCATTCCAGAGCTAGTCAGCTCTTCTGCAGCTAATGGGCCAGGGCCATCTGAACTCCGGACCCCCTGCCCTTCCCTGGGGTGCTAGGCTGAAGGATGTCCTTTCCCAGTCCCTCAAGACAAGAGCCACTTTTTCTTGGGTCCATTATTCATATTCCCAGTTCACAACCCCCAGAAACTTCCTGTAAGAGATGAAAAGAGGGAGTGAGGACCTTAACCCCAGCCTCGAGTTGGCCTCAGTTTCTTCTGATTAGCCCTGAAGTGGTCAGCAGCCCTCAGAGTCCTTCAGCTCTTGGAGAATGCTCCAGGGGGACCAGGGGAAGGAGGAAGCACTTCACGGGCGGGCGGGTGGGCGGCTCTGGGGGCTCACACCCACCTCACACCCATCGGACCCAGCAGCTTCTCCCTGTTTTCTCTGCCACCCTACCTTCCCAAGGCTGCGAGGACTAAGACCACAGAGTAGAAAATGGCAGGAAATACGTGGGGCCTTTGAGGGCATATCCAGAGTCTTCTAAACCAAGAAGCACAAAGACTTAGGGAGGTGTGCCTCGGTCTAGTCAGTGGGTCTTCCTTGGCGGCCAGCAATACATTGTTTCTTTGTCTTCCAAGTTGTAGGTGAACAGCACAGGAAAAATGGATGTTCCAACTGAGGTTGGTCTACTGGACAGTGAGTGTCTCTTCTCCAACAGCAGTGTGGGCACGGGGACTCCACACACTGGAGAAGTTGGTTTCTTACAGTCGTAGCCATGGGTAAAGGCTGCTCAAACCTTGTATGACCGTGGGGAGACCAGGTTGTTCTTTGAATCGAATAGTCAGGGAGCGAGTTAAAAACCTTCAGACACTTCACAGGGTTAAACTGTCACAGGGACCTTTCTTTTCTTTATCATTATTATTATTATTTTCTAAGACAGGGTTTCTCTGTGTAGCCCTGGCTGTCCTGGAACTCGCTCTGTAGACCAGGCTGGCCTCAAACTTAGAGATCCACCTGCCTCTGCCTCCTGGGTGCTGGAATTAATGTTGTACACTACCACACCCTGCTCATAGGGACTTTTCTGATCTAGTGGAACATAGGCTAAGGATCTGTGCGTAATGCCAGGTGAAACCCAAATCTTCCAGTGCTGGTGAAGGTGGGCTTAACTTGGTTTATTTATTTATTGGGTGTCTCCTGGACCACTTGGACTCTTCAGACAGGCAATGATTGGATCTCATCAGATTTTAATTGTTCACTATTTATGTTCTTCTCAAATACGTTAGCAGTCATCTCCCAGGAGTATCCCTAGCATCCTAAAGTGAACAGAGCTAAGAGGAGGAGAAGAGCTGATCCTGCAAGAGTTCCAGGGAGATGCTAATTACTGAACTTTGACTGTGAAGTCCTTCCCATTTGTGTTTGAAATGGGAGTTGATGCCTTTTGTACAATGTTATCAAAGTGTGTAGAGATTTCCCTACTGAAACATAGAACATCAGAATATATAATATAGCAAATAAAGCCAAATCTCAGCTTTTCACTGGGGCTGATCCCTTCCTCCACATGAACTGCATCCTTTATATTCCCCAAATTTGGACTGTGTCATGTGGGTATTGACTATATTTTCAATGGAACAACAACCAAAAAAGGCCTGGGGTTAGATCTGAATAAATGGGTTTGCTGCTCTAGAGCATGTTTATGATACAGCACCTAACTTCAATGTCTTTGCCTTATACATCATTTGGTCCCGCTGTTAATAACAGATTTATTATCCTGTATATTTGCTATTGAAGATGGGAATGTGATCCTCAAAATTGTTGGTCTATTTTGTATGTTGTACAAAGCTTGTAATACAGGTTTACGGTGGGTGGGCTGCAAGAGCCCTGAAAATTTTCCCCTTTTGAACTGCTTTTTTATCTGCTTGCTCATGGGAATGTTGTCTCTTCAGTGGAAGATGGGTGGTCTCACGTTGAGGCTCTTGCCTGTCCCTTTAATTCCCTTGTCCCCTCCTAAAGGGAAGAGACATTGCCCAGCTAAGCAGCAGGAAGCTTTGTCAACAGCTCTCCTCTGAGTTTCGTGGTGTTTTTCCCTAACAGGAAACACTCGCGGTAACTGTTTCTCACTGCCCTACCTGAAACTGGGCAGTGGCCTCTGATTTTCAAATGAGCTAGATGCCCCTCTTTCCTTTCTCCAGTTACCAAACCTGGACCAAAGCACTTCGATATTCCAGGTGTGGTTTTTCTTTCCTGGGGATTGGCTGCAGCTGCAGGGCCCGCCCTTTTCACAGCCTAGGCTCATTGTGTGAGCAGCGAGGGCTATCCCAGCTGGTGGATGTGAGGCTGTCATTGCCAGGAATTCGTCCCTGCCCACTTTCCTAGTAAAGGCAAGGAAACTGGTCACTGGCATTGCACTAGGGGATTCCCTTACCAGTGGCTTCCCAGCTTGAAACCCAGACTTACCTCCAGGGAGAGGTGAGGGGAAAAAATGACTGTAAATAGATTTGCTACAGAGCAACTCAGGGTTGGGCATGTTTTAATTCTCCTGATCACTTGAAATAATCTGTAGGCTGAGTGCTTATGGGAGTGTGGGAGAAATGTGACTCCAGGGTCCTTGGTTCTGTGAAGCTGTGGGGGGTGGAGTGTAGGGCACCAGAAGCCCTTCCATTGCGCTGTACTGCGTTGTCTGTCCTTCTGGAAACCCAAACCTACAATCAGCTGCGAAACCGACTTCCCATCCCAGGTGTGACTTCTCTTTCCCTGTGACTCTCAGTCCCTAGCCATGTGGTCCAGGTGACCCTGTGAAGCCACCCAGACCTAGGGAATGAGAGGGAAGAGAGGGGGCCATTACAATTCTGCCTTCAAGACTCATTTCCTGAAAATAAAATAACCACCTTCAAAATCACATGCAGAAACAAACACAAAAAACCCAGCAACCATTAACTGAAGGAAGGGTTCCGCTCACTCAACTCCACGTTCATTGTGCCTTTACTTGTGTTAGATTTCTGTGCTTTCCTCCTCCCTCTGTGAAGTAATTAAAATCTTCCTTGATAACTGCTGTTTCCTTTCTGCTCCTGTTTCTTACAGCTCGACGGGTTTCTTCTCAGACTGTCTTGTCTTACTCCCTGGTGCAGAGGGGCTCTAGTAACCCTCCCTTTTCCTGTCTGCCTTTTGTCCTTTCCCACAGTTTCCAGTCTGGAAGTTACAGTCCACACTGAATAAAAGACCAGAGTGGTGTGTGTGCATGTGCGCGTATGTCCATCATCTGTATATGGATCAGTTTCTTTAAAAAATAATTTATTTTGTGATTTATTTTGGAATTTTTGTTCTGGTTTCAGTGCTTCTCCACAATAGCAAAACGAATCCCCACACCCTTCATCCTCCAACATAAAATGTATAATCTCGTCTCAGGTTGAATTCCTTGGTACATTTCTTTCTTCTGGATGCTGTGCAGTTTAATTAAACCTTAAAAACAAACAAAAAACAAACAAAAAGGAAAACTGTATTTTTGTCATGAGTAATACTGGCTCAAGTGATGGCAAGGAGAGGGGAGGAAAGCCACTGCCTCTCTTTTGGGTATGCGTGGCAGTTTGATTTCAGGTCCCCAAGGAAGGACATGTGTGGATGTGCATGGCAGAAGCCCCGGCAGCTCTCCAAGGGCTCTCTCTGCCTGGCTGTCTTAAAAATAATCACTGTTTGGCCCCGCTGAGCAGTGATTCTGTTTTGTATTTGTTAACTTGATCTCAAGGAGCCCCGGAGGCCCCCTTCTCCTTGGTGTTTCGTTCCTTGTGGCCCCTGCGCCTGCGCCTTGAGGCTGATTCTCAACCAGATGGTGGGAGAAAAGGTGTGTGTATGGGGGGCGGGGAGGGTTTGGGATCTGGAGAATCCATTTGTAGGGGCTGTCTAGTTCTCTTCACTACTTTGTTTGGTTTGGTTGGTTGGTTGGTTTTTCGAGACAGGGTTTCTCTGTGTAGCCCTGGCTATCCTGGAACTCAGAGATCCTCCTGCCTCTGCCTCCCAGATTGCTGGGATTAAATGCATGTGCCACCACCCCTCGGCTACCATTTTCAAGTCTAGTGGGTTTTTTTGTTTGTTTGTTTTTGTTTTCCCAGACAAGGTTTCTCTGTGTAGCCCTGGTTGTCCTGGAACTCGATTTATAGACCACGTTGACCTCGAACTCACAGAGATCCACCTGTCTCTGCCTCCCTGGGGGCTGGGATCAAAGTTATGTAACACCACATCTTCACTGCTTTTCAAGCTGAAATCTTAGCTGGTTTTCTTGAACTTTGACTTTAGGTGTTAAAATTCAACCACGCTTCTTTGTTACTGTGGTCAGCTGACAGGAACCAGGAGTCCACTGGGCTTAACTTGCACTTTCACTGCTAGCAGAGTGCAAGTTCCGCCTTACGGACTTATAGTGGGTGGTGTGTGGACCAAGCTCACATAATCTAGATAGAAAAACCTGTGGGGGAGGATTATCATTCAACCATCAGAGTGGCTGGATTCATGATTATTTGACCCATCATTGTTATTAATATGATTAATAAACTATTTATTGATTTCATTGTTCTTCCTAACTTAGTAGCCTGCGTGTGGAACTTGCTTAAATGACCCTCAGCTTCCCAACCGTGTAAGTTCTCTCACTGGGACAGGATTGCTGGTCTGTGTGTGTACCCTTACACACACTCAGAAAGATGCCAGACAGGTCTTTCCAGTGTGCTGTGATTCCTGCTCCGTGACACCGAGTTAGGTGATAAGAACATTAGATTGCTCACTGATGATTACTGAGGCCCAGCTGTGCATGCTGGGGACGTGCCTCTTAAGTATTTCCTGGCCCAGACCATGAACTGCAACATGCAGGAAGGAAGCTGCCTTTCTCTAGCTTCCCAATACTCTGTTGGTAGTAAGAGGATTAAAATGTCAACCTCAGGATCCTGACCATTCCAGAGAGTAATTATAAGGATTTCACCTTTGACACCACTGACGCCCAGTCTGAACTGTTTTTACACATAATTAAATTTATTCTGCTAGGTTTATGGCTGTGAGATTTAAAGGACTATATATGCAATCCATCCATAAAAATCATTCATGCAAATAGTGGACATCAGCTTGGCATAATGCCCTTTTCATCCCTTCATTTGGCAAGTGTTTATCGTGTACCTTATAGCAGAAGTCCACACAGGAGCCTAAGACATGGTCTTTGCCTTCAAACCCCGTAGTGTAGTAGATTATGGTCATCAAAAGGAACCTATGCAGAGTATTGCAAGACTTTCATAGGCGTTGACCAGGAAGGAGAGAAACACATCCTAGCCAGGAAACAGTGGGTACAAAGGTACAGAAATGAGGAACTGACGTGTGTGTGTGAGATTACTGGAGGAAAAGCCTCCAGGGGATAACCTTTCCCAGTTCAGTGCTCACATTCTGCTTGCACAGTGCTCATTTTCTGTTGCAGACTTTTCCTGAGCTGGTGCCTTTTTTTTTTGGAACCCGGTGAGTGCTTTCTTAGGCTGTGGTGTGCACATTAAGCACTTACAGTTTCCCTGCTCTCTCTCCTGTAACCATCCTTTCCATAGCTTACATTTCTATTTCAGATTGTGAGGGTAGGCTTTAGGTCCTCAGGTTATAAACTTGTGAGAAGTAGAGGTGGTCTTAAATTCCATTGTCCTGCTAAGTGAGAAACACCGAATGATCTGAAAGCCTCCTTTCCATGGTATTTCCCCATTGATGGCAGCTTGTTTTCTTTTGGAGTTCTTAGCTGTTAGGAAGCCTTAAGAAAATGTACCCCTTCAACATCTTGTCCTGTTTAGAACCCACCCCTCTAATCCTCCATGATTAAGTAGTCAAGAGCTTGGTCTTCTGTCATTAGAGTGCAAATACCAGCTCTTCCACTTTCTAGTTGTCTGACATGGGGCCAATTTTCTCAGTACCTCTGCCTCAGTTTCCCTCAACTTCCTAGGGTGCTTGGAAAGACTGATGAAGGTGATACAGGTAAAATACTGAACTCATGGGGTTGGGGATTTAGCTCAGTGGTAGAGCGCTTGCCTAGCAAGTGCAAGGCCCTGGGTTCGGTCCTCAGCTCCAGAGGAAAAAAAAATACTGAACTCAGCCACTACACACTTAAGGACTCATACTGGCTTGTGGTAAGGTGGTAACCATTTGAAATGAACTGTTTTGAGTTAACCATTGATTGTGATGTTGTTTTCCTATTCCTAGCTTTATGTCTATTTTATTTGATAGGGGAGGATGAAAGACGTATTTTACAGCCGGGTGTGGTGGCCCCACTCCATTGATGCCAGCACGTGGGAGGCAGAGGCAGGCGGATCTCTGAGTTCAAGGCCAGCCTGGTCTACAGAGTGAGTTCCAGGACAGCCAGGGGGGCTACACAGAAACCCTGTCTCGAAACAAACAGACATAAAATTTACCGTTACCTAGAATTGGGTTCTGGCCTTTAAAGGAACCTGGCCTGCAAATGGCATTAAATGCTCAGCTTGCCTTTCCTATAACTGCCTTCCCTGGCCCCGAAACCCTAGTGTTTGGCCATAAATGATATTCAAGGGATATAATTCTATTCCTTACGAAGTGTAGATAGATTAATGTCAAGGCACACGGAATATATTACCTTGAATAAAACAAAATTGCATATTTAGTGTTGGTCTTGTTTCTCACTTTTGAAGTGCAAGTCAACAAATACCGAGATGATGTCAGTTTGTTTATACAGGTATAGAACTTGACCTAAAAAAGCCCTGGTTCAAGTTATCAGCCCTTCGCCACCGGCATGCCATACAGGACCACTCACAAACTAATAAGCCTTGTGTGGTAGCCCTCATAATGAAAATAGGTGCGCCAGGCGGTGGTGGCGCACACCTTTGATCCTAGCACTCGTGAGGCAGTGGCAGACCAGCCTGGGCGGTTACACAGAGAAAAACTGTCTCAAAAAAAAAAAAACAACAACAAAACAGGTGTGTTTGGCAGAGAGGAAGGATAAAGATACCCCAGGAGAAATTTAAAAAAAAAAAGGAAGTAGACTTGCGTAGGGACAAAAACTACACTTCCCGCCAGGCCTTGCGGCGTGGCGTGCTCACCTAATGAGTCGCCAGCGCGCCTTTCCCGCGGCGGTCTCATGTTAACGCCCTCCCCGGTGAGTGGGTGTGGCTTCAGGCTGGGCTCTGAGACCTGGGGCTGTCTTATTGGCTGTAGGTCATCACCGGCGGGGGCGTGGTGATAAATGGCACCGAATCAGAAGCGTGGCTGGACTTTGGCGCGAGACGGGAACGCTGAGGCAGGGCAGATTTGGCGCGAGCTGAGTTCGCTTCAGCTGTGCGTCTTGTGGCGGGAGATCCCTTGCGGTTGTGTTCGAAACACAGGAGCGTGCACTGCGGCGACACAGCCTTGAAGCGTGTAAAGGAGCAGATTGCTCCGTGAGGCCTGAGAGTTGGCCCGGAGCCCAAAGAGTTGAGGCCGGTTCGAGCGTGGCCTGTGGAGAGCGGAGATCGCCTGAGGTCTGTGGCTGGGTCAGGGAGGGGGTCGTGCGCCTGCAAGCCGTTGGAGCCCGGAGTGGTGGGAAGGAGCTGAGAGCTGCTGGGAGGAAACGGTGTAGGGTGGGGTTGAGAGCGGTGTGGAGCGCAGGCTAGTCCCGGGCAGAGGAGGATGGAATGGAACTAAACTAGTGCTAAAGATGTCTCGTGTGTCTGGAGTGAAGGAGCTAGAAGTATTCTAGAAACCACTGGAGATAAACTGGCATTGCTCAAGTGTAAGAACTTGGGTTCTGGTTTCAGGATGCTTGGGGTGATAGCCGTGTTTTTCTATGACTGTCTCTAAGAGGGGGATAATAGTTTCTACATCTGAGTTATGTATGGTAAGACTGAAGTGTGCAATATGTGCATAACGGTATGTTACACATACTGGGTATACAGATGTTACCTGTTATTTACATAGATTTGGATAGGAAGCAGAACTGTGTTAAAAATACCATGTTAACATAATTTATGAAGTGAGCGTTGGTCACCAATATAAATAAACTCCGTATGTTTTTCTTTTTGCTTTCGTAAATCCCAGGCTTCCTGGCTTTTTTTTTTTTACACCCAGTTGAGTGGTCATCATGCCTCAAACCCGATCCCAGGCACAAGCTACCATCAGTTTTCCGAAAAAGAAGTTGTCTAAGACACTGAGCAAAACGAATTCCAGAGACAGTAAAGTAAAACTTAAAGACGTCCAGGCTGAACCTTCTACTCCACGTGCAAATGCTAAAATTCTGCCTCTCAGTCCCAGAAAACGTCTGGGTAAGTCTTCCCCTCTGTAAGCACAGCTGTGTGACTAATAGCCCTCAGGCCTGCCTTTTCTTGATGCTGAGACGCCTGGCAGGCAGTTAAAACCTTGGCTGTGTCTGTTTTCGTAATGGCTGCTAGGTACGTACTGAATCCACAGTTAAGCCATTCACTGACAGATCATTTTCTGAGGGACTTACTAGGTTTGATCTTCATTTCTTAGTTCTGTCCTTTAAAATTACCTTAAAGTTACGTATGGTATTATGAAATTTGCCTACATACTCGTAAAAATAAGAAACAAATGGGTGACATTCTTAATATTTTTTATTTTTGTTTTAAAATAGTACTTAACATTTTCACTGTTCCGTTTGTTTTTTTTTTTTTTTTGAAAAAAAAAAAAATTTCTCTAACTCAGGCTGGCCTGGAACTCACTTTGTAGCCCAGGATTGCCTCAAACTTGAGATCTTTTTCCCACTACCATACATTTTTGTTTGGTTGGTTTTGGGTTTTTTTGTTTTGTTTTGAGACAGAGTTTCTCTGTGTAGTTTTGGTGCCTGTCCTGGATCTTGCTCTGTAGACCAGGCTGGCCTTGAACTCACAGAGATCCTCCTGGCTCTGCCTCCCGAGTGCTGGGATTAAAGGCGTGCGCCACCACCGCCCAGCTTGGTTTTGTTTTTTGTTTTTTGGAGCTGAGGATCAAACCCAGGGCCTTGCGCTTGCTAGGCAAGCGCTGTACCACTGAGCTAAATCCCCAACCCTTGTTTTGTTTTTTTTTTTTAAGACAGGGTTTCTCTGTGTTGCCCTGGCTGTCCTGGAACTTGCTATGTAGACCAGGCTCTTGAGTGCTGGGATTAAGGATGTGCGCCATCACTGCCGGCCACACTTGGCTTGTGTGTGTTGAGGATGCTACTGGTTGTTGTGGATTGAGCACAAGACCTCGTTCTTCCTAAGAAGTGCTGTACCGCTTAGCTATACATGCCCAGTCTAAGAACTTTAGTGTTATTATTGGTAGATATCATTGTGCTTGGTGGTAGGAGAGCATATGTTGTTGGGGAGTGATCTGGACATATCTGAAGATTTTAGTCTGTTACAATTGAGGGGATGTGCTGGAACCATGTGTAAACGCTAGCAATGCTGCTGAACGACAACGCACACAGCAGCTTCCTACAGAGGAAAGTCATTCATTCCAAGGTGTCAGTGGCGTCGAGATTGACAAGTCTCTTTTTTTTTTTTTTTTAAGTTTTTCAAGACAAGGTTTCTCTGCAACAGCTCTCCTGAGTGCTGGGATTAAAGGCGTATGCCACCACCAGCTGGTGTTAAATCCTATTTTAAAATAACTTAGTCTCACCTCACTAGAACTCATTTGGTTTCTACCAGTTGATAAGATTCAATGGTGCCATCTGGTGGCCATGTGTGCTCCTTAGTGAGAAGTGTCTTTTGTGGTTCTGACTAAGGTAGAAATTCACCTCTTGGCTTTTAATCCCAGAATTTGGGAGACAGAGGCAGGCAGATCTTTGAGTTCAAGGCCAGCCTGGTCCACAGAGCTAGTTCTAGGACAACCAGGCCTACACAGAGAAACCTAGTCTTGGAAAAACTGGGGGGGAACAAAGGAAGGAAGGAAGGAAGGAAGGAAGAAAGGAAGAAAACAAAATTCTGCTCTTCCTGGGTGTGGGAAGGTCTTTGCGCTTCCTTTTACTGTCCTCCACTGTGAAGGACCACGGTCTGCGTTTAGTGCTTTGGGTGCTGGACGGCATTGCTGTGACTGACATGTTCTGTTTTAACGGTTCAGGTGATGACAACCTATGCAACGCTCCTCATTTGTCTTCCTGTTCCCCGCCGAAGCTGGGCAAGAAAGAAAATGGCCCACCTCGCTCACATACTCGGAAGGGATGCAGATTAGTATTCGATGAGGAGCTGACGGTTAAGTCTTCAAACCAAAAAGAGCAAGACCGAGTTCACCAAAACCAAATACTTCCCTCAGCTCAAAAAGGTCAAGAGAGTGAAACAAATTCTGAGCAGAAATGTCCACCGGATAAGGAGTCTGCGCGTGTGAGACTGTTCAAACAAGAAGGTGGGCTCTTAATGGTAGCTGTTGGTGTGCCATCGGGAACAGAGATGACAGTTCTGAGTGAGACCCAGGGAGTCTTTTCAGTCACCTTCTGTTGGGTCTTAACTACCCTTTTATGTCTGGCACAGGAACTTGCTATCAGCAAGCAAAGCTTGTCCTGAACACAGCTGTCCCAGATCGGCTGCCTGCCAGAGAAAAGGAGATGGACGTCATCAGGGCCTTCCTGAAGGAACACATCTGTGGGAAAAAAGCTGGAAGTCTCTACCTCTCTGGTGCTCCTGGGACCGGAAAAACTGCCTGCTTGAGCCGGATTCTGCAAGACCTCAGGGTACGCTGAGAGTCTGAGAGACGGATGCTCTTGCTAAAAAGATTTGACTCTTAAGGGTTAAGGAAGAATAGACCGTTATGTGATTGAATGCTTCCCAGAAGTAAGAATTCTTGTTATTTCAGGGTATAAATCTTTCCAAAGGAAAGTAGAGCTTCGCTCTTGTATTCTCTTAGCTCTCAGAGACCAGATCAGCTTTCAGTAAATCTTTGTCTGAAGCCAACATATCGCCCATGTTTGCATCTTTTTTTTTTATACCTAGAAGGAAGTGAAAGGCTTTAAAACGATCTTGCTGAATTGCATGTCTTTGAGGAGTGCCCAGGCTGTGTTCCCAGCTATTGCTCAGGAGATTGGTCGGGAGGAAATATGCAGACCAGCTGGGAAGGACTTGATGAGAAAACTGGAAAAGCATGTGACTGCTGAGGAGGGCCCCATGATGTAAGTATTTCTCGGCTGCGTGTTGCTCAGTAAAAATCCTCAAGATGTTACCCACACAAAAAAGAACTTGCCCTGAAAAGAACTTTGCTCTGAGAAGTATGTACATACGCTTGAAGAAAAAAAGATAATGTACTTTCTAATTTTGAAAACATTGTACTAACCTATTTATTGATGGTACTGGGACTCAAAGCCAGGGCCGTGTGTGTATGTCAGATACTTTTTTTAAGCAAGTCCTTTGAAAACAACTGGATGACACTTGTTAGTGATGGGGGATGCTAGTCTAACCCTGGCTAATGGCAAGATGAGCTATGGTCTGCAAGCTGAGCTGAGCTTTCTGGCTGTAACCTAAGGTGAGCTCAGATCAAGCATGGGAAGCCTGAAAATGTGATTGGTACTAATTGTTTCTCTTTGTACGTAGTGTGTTGGTGTTGGACGAGATGGATCAGCTGGACAGCAAAGGGCAGGATGTTTTATACACACTGTTTGAATGGCCGTGGCTAAACAATTCCCGATTGGTGCTCATTGGTTAGTGCTCAGTTGTTACTGTCACGTGGTGAATTTGAAATTTTGTTAATCCTTTAAAATCTGTGCAACTTATGTGTGTATAGTATGGGTGTGTGTGTGTGTGTGTGTGTGTTTTGCCTGCATGCAGGTCTGTGCACCACTTGCATACCGGATACCCATGGAGGCCAGAAGTGGGTGTCTGATTCCCTAAACTGGAGTTACAAATGTTGTGAGCAGGCATGTGGGTGCTGGGAGTTGAACCTGCATCCTCTGGAAGAGCATCCAGTGCTCTTAACCACTGAGCCATTTCTTCAGCCCCACCTGTTATTTTATACTTAACCAGCTTTTTGTCTTATGAAAATAAGAAAATTTACTGTGATAGTATTTTTTTTTTTTTTTTTTTTTTTTTTTTTTTTTTTTTTTTTTGGTTTTTCGAGACAGGGTTTCTCTGTGTAGCTTTGCGCCTTTCCTGGTACTCACTTGGTAGTCCAGGCTGGCCTCGGACTCACAGAGATCCACCTGGCTCTGCCTCCCGAGTGCTGGGATTAAAGGCGTGCGCCACCACCGCCCGGCTAGTAATTTTAATAGAAGGCCGATTGTTTTTGTGAGGTCTGAATAAAAATGACAAAGAAGGCAGACACCACACTGCATCCCTGTGGTCCCAGTTATTTGGGAGGATGAGTGCACCACGCCGCCGCCTGGCTTGCTGGGTTTGTTCTTGAGGCGGGGTCTCAGGGCAGCCCTGGCTGGCCTGGAATTCAACGGAAATCTGCCTGCCCATCCTCATTTCTCACTCCCTTCTTCCTGGAGATAAGGTCTATAGCTCAGGGCGGTCTTAAACCCGCCATCCTCCTGCCTCATTCTCCCATGTGTTAAGACTATAAGCATGCTTCCCCATACCTGCCTAAGCACTGTATCTTCCCCAGTAGGTCCAGCTTACCTTTTAGTGTGGGGTGGAGAGCAAGTGGGAGCAGCAATTGAAATACTGGGTTATGACTGGGAATTTATCCTTCGAAGGTTTTAATTTCCTTGTAGGGTGATTTGTCTGCTGATTGTTATTTCTCTCCTCAGGTATCGCTAATACCCTAGATCTCACAGACAGAATTCTGCCGAGACTTGAAGCTAGAGAAAACTGTAAGCCGCAGCTGTTGAACTTCCCCCCTTACACCAGAAATCAGATAGCTACGATCTTGCAGGATAGACTCAGTCAGGTGAGTGTTGACCATTATGCCAAATTCTGTTGCAGGGATAATCTCTGTGGTGGAAAGCTAACAATAGGTTTGAAATATTTTGATTTGATTGTTTTATTAATGGTGTGGCAAGCTCCCATGGACCATAATGAGTGAGAACATTTTTACGTGAATATCTACACGTGGTTTCATTTATTGGCTGCTTCACTGTTGAAATAAAAGTAGGAATTAGAGGACTCATGCTTCCTTAATGGCCTTTAAAAAGTAGGGCCTGGGCCAGTGAGGTGGCCCAGCAGGTAAAGGCACTGGCTGCCAGTTCTAATGATCTGAGTTCCATCTCTGAGACCCCCATGGTGGGAGGAAGACCTAGCTCCTAGAAGGTGTCCGCTGAGCTCCACAGGTTTGGCACACATGCTCTGCCCCACCCCTACTCTAAACAAAAATAAACAAACGGAATAAAATTTTAAGAGTAGGGCCTATGAGCCTGGTGTAGTGGTGCACACCTTTTATCCCAGTACTTGGAAAGCAGAGGCAGACAGTGCTCAGTGTTGGAAGCCAGCCAGGGCTACATAGAGAGATCTTGTCTCAAAAAAACGAAAAACAAGAGAGCCTATGGGAAAACATTTGTAGTTTCACTTGCTTTTTTATTCTGTTCAGGAACCTCTACACATTCCTATAAAATTCTTAAATATATGCAATATGTCCCTTACACCTAAAGGTGGTCAGTCAGGTTTAGACCTTGTGATACGTCCAGTCCCAGTCAGGTTTAGACCTTGTGATACGTCCAGTCCCAGAGTTAGATTTTATTGTTTATTTATTTATTGATGGTACTGGGATTCACAAGGCCTCATGCTAGTAAGTGCTCTACACTGAGCTGTATTTATTTTTTATTTATTATATATTTATTTATTTTAAATGATGTGACTTGATTCTTTTTTTTGTTTGTTGTGTTTTGAGACAGGGTTTCTCTTTGTAACAGCCCTAGCTGTCCTGGAACTTAATCTGTAGACCAAGCTGGTCTCTCTTTTTTTATTTATTTATTCATTTATTTATTTTGTATACAGAAGAGGGTGCCAGATCTCGTTATAGATGGTTGTGAGCCACCATGTGGGTGCTGGGAATTGAACTCAGGACCTCTGGAAGAGCAGTCGTTGCTCTTAACCTCTGAGCCATCTCTCTAGCCCCCCAAGCTGGTCTCTTAACTCACAGAGATCCACCTGCCTCTGCCTCCCAAGTGCTGGGATTAAAGGCTTGTTCCACTACCACTGCCCAGCTATTATATATTTATTTGAGACAGTCTCACTGTGGTTGACTTGAGTTTAGCTCCTCCTGCCTTAGTGTCTCAGGTAGCTAGGATTATGGATGGGCCTGTGTTCGTTCCTAAGCCTGACTCAGTTGTTATCTGTGTCTTGTCTGAAGGTGTCGAGAGACCAGGTTCTGGACAGTGCTGCCATTCAGTTCTGTGCCCGCAAAGTATCTGCTGTTTCCGGAGACATCCGTAAAGCACTGGATGTTTGCAGGTGAGTTATAGCAGTGTTGACTGTCTTTATTAAAAAGAAGAAGAAATGCTGTCAGTTGTCTCATGTAACTCAAATGAATGTGGCTTAAGAGGCCCTGTTCTGCTACTTTTTATGCTCAGAAAAGAGGACTTGTTTCTCAGTGGGGAGCTCTGGGTTTCCACCGCGTTAATGTCTGAAACATTATCAGTCCATTACCTACAGAGGGGGAAACAAATGAGATGTTGCTGGCGCCCCCTGTGGTGATTATAGATTGGTTAATTACATTTGTATTAAAAAAGACTCCAGTTTGCTTTTCCATTCGCTGGGCTCAAGCAGGTTTATTTATGGACCTGAACCATCTTTGCCTTTAGACTTTCTTCTTCCTTTCCTTTTGTGGGCACCCCTTCCTCCCTCCAGTTGGTGGTCCCCCAAGTCCTACCCTAGACCTCTTTCTCTCCTCCATCCCTCTGCCCCTCCTGCTGAGGAAAGCCTCTGTGCTGACTGATGAAAGTTCTTTCCTCCCAGTAGGGGCACTGGGTCCATTAAAATGATCCTTGCTGTGCTGGCCCGCTGGTCCAACTTCCTCCTATTGCCCTGTCGAAGATCCAGGTCTGCCTTATGGCTTCCCGTGGGCAAAACACTTTAGAGAGAGCAGTGGGAGAGGAAGCTCTTCCTGTTGCTAGACTGCATGATCTGGAATGTGAGAGTCCCCTAGTCAGCAAAGTATTTGAGTAAAGACTACAGCTATGAGTGATAGCCATGTAGGTCAGCAAGATTAGCCTACATGTGTCCTGTAGAGTCTATCTGAGGACTCCCCTTGTGGGTCTGCTGTGTGGGAGTGCTGTAAGACCTCCTTAGTCCACCCCCACTCATCTAAAATGTTACTGGCTTAATGTGTGGCAACCTGCTTGACATCCGTCAGAGGAAGATAAGTAGCATGTCTCTCAAATCCCCGGTCTTTTCATGTTAAAGGCGGCCAAGTCTTCCTGAAGCTGCGACTTAACCCAGTTTGTTTAGGGACCTTAATTTTTTTTTTTCAGGCAGGGTCTCTCTGGGTAACTGGCTCCCCTGGAACTCACTCACTGTGTAGACCAGACTGGCCTCTAAGATTGATTTGCATTTTAGCTTCATGTATGTATGCCTGTGCAGGTCAGAAGAGTGTGTCAAATCCCCTGGAGTTGGAGTTACAGGGGATTGAGAGCTGCCTGGTGTAGGTGCTGGACATGAAACTTGGAAGGGACCTTAATTTTTTTAAAAACGTGTTAATGTGCCTGCTTTGGGGCATGGTCTCTTGGTGTGGTATTTGGTTTGGCTGAGACTAAATTTTAGAAATTTTTTTTTATAGGCGAGCTATTGAAATTGTGGAGTCGGACGTCAAAAGCCAGACGGTCCTCAAACCACTGTCTGAAGGTGAGTAGCTTAACTTGCTTCCTGTCTTCATCTATAGATGGAGAATTAAGTTTCCTGAGGAAAGGGGAAGATAAACAGACACAGTTAAATCCACACACGCACGCACGCAAGAGGGAGCAAGGTGTAGTCTCATCTAGTTTATTTCAGTCTTGCCTGCCAGTAGTCTGTGTGTTACTGGAAATGAGTTCCCCGGGGTGTTCCTAAATGGTGGGGCTCAGGTAGTAAGGTTTCTTCCAAGGCTCTCAGGTTGAGTCACCTTCTGTCTGGTTACTTACTATGAGTGCCCTTTAAGTGTTTACGTAGGAGAAAGCAGTGGCCGGTAAGTAAAGGAAAGACAGTCGTATTATGGACTGAGCAGATCAGGAGTTCACCTCAGGGTGTCGTGAGGCAGTCTACAAGGGCAGAGCACAAAGGTCTGTGGCTACAGGAAACCGAACGCTGACACAAACGAGCTTGAATTTCCCTTTTCCTCAACCCTGTTTTCTTCACTGGCAGATTTTCATCAGTATTTATTTTTAGTTAATTAGTTTTGGTTTTTCAAGACAGGGTTTCTCTGTAGCAGCTCTGGCTGTCCTGGAACTCGTCAGTATTTATTGAAAGAAACAATTTAAAGGGTTTTAGAAGTAACCCAAATTAGTGCTTGGGCTGCGAGTAGGCTGCATACACCCCTGTGTGGACTTGGGTCATTTTCTCTGTTTCCTTCCTCACTCCTAGCAGTAACACACAGGCTTGTCAGTGGCCCTGGGAGAACCTAGTGCACACTGTTGAAAGAGCTTCAGGGTCCTGGAGTAACTTACGGGACTCACTAATTCCTGTCTTTGTGGGGATCTAGTTTCAATGGCCTAGCTAGCTATATAGAAAACTATGGGGAAAGTGACTTCAGCTAAATATAAGGAACTTTTTTATTGTTTTTGTTTTTTTGAGACAAGGTTTCTCTGTGTAAAGGAACTTTTTTGGTTTTTCGAGATAAGGTTTCTCTGCGTAATAGTCCTGACTGTCCTGAAACTCACTCTGTAGACCAGGCTGGCCTCCAACTCACTGAGATCCACCTGCCTCTGCCTCCTGAGTGCTGGGATTAAAGGCGTGTGCCGCCGCCGCCGCCGCCGCCGCCGCCGCCGCCGCCGCCACCACCACCACCACCTGCCAGGAACTTTCTAGGAAATAACTAGGTTCCCCAGCACTGAAGATAGGCAAACAAAAATTAGCTGGATACCAAGCATGGTGGGCCATACCTATGATTCCAGCCCTCAGGAGGCTGAAGTCTTGAGAATCACTATAAGTTCAAGGCCAACAGAGGCTGCATAGAAAGACTCTCTTAAACCGTGGAACAACAACAAAATGGATAGGCGTCCTGTTGGGATTGTTTTAGAAGGGACTTGGCCCTTGTGTAGAGAAAAGAGACTTCCAAGTTCCTTTCATCAGGGAACCTCTTCTGTTCTGTGAGCCCTGCTTTCTCGATTAGCCCTTTGCAGCTTCCTGCTTGTGGTAGAGGAGCAGAAGCAGGTTGTTGTGGGGCAAGTGCAGGCACAGGTTGTTAAGGAGCAAAACCTGCCTCTATTGCACAGACGTGCTTCTCCAAACAGTGGGACCACGGTCCCGTGTGGATTTCCCCAGTTCTCAGACTCCAGCTCTGGGGCGGGTGCTATCTGCTAGGCTATCTATCCAGTGACATTTTCTGCTGTCTTCCAGATCCGTTTGGAGGGGTGAACAAACTTCAGGGTTCATCTAGGGAAGCCATCTGAGGTGCGGGGGCTTCGAGTGGGGTTGACTTTACCGTCTATACTTACCCACTCATTTGACTCAAAATGTTAGATAAATTTTCCAACTAGTACTTCTCCTTCCTTAACTGCCAGGTAGTTGTCTTTGCTGCAGGGTTTTGTGCTCAGGATCAGTCACACCAGGGGGTCTGCACTGGCCAACCTCTGAGGCAGTTAGCCCTACTTGGTGGCTTCTATCAGGTTCTTGCTAATTTAGAAGGGAGATCAGTGGTCTTCTCAACATTAAGTTGTATCCTAAAGGACAAAATAGATCATTATTCTTCTGAGAGAAAAGGCAGACCTGCTCTCCCAAGTCATCCGGAACTGCCTTTTCCTCCTCTTCCGCCTTGGAGACAGAACCTCCACTTTGCCATTGTGCCCGCACCTGGGTTTCCTTTAGTTAACGTTAGGTAACACCAGCATTGTGTGTCTCCGCACACACACACAGTTTTAGAGGCTGTACAAAGCTTGGCTTGCTTACCTTGCAGGTCAATCACCCTCTGAGGCGCCAGTTCCCAAACGTGTTGGCCTTGCTCACATATCCCAAGTCATTTCGGAAGTGGATGGGAACAGGGTGACTCTGAGCCAAGAAACAACACAAGATTCCCTCCCTCTCCAGCAGAAGATCTTGGTTTGCTCTTTGCTGCTCTTGACCAGGCGGCTGAAAATCAAAGAGGTCACTCTGGGGAAGGTAAGCTGGGGGTCTCAGCAGGTGGAGTGGAATGCAGGTTTTTTCAAAAGACCTGTCTTTTCCAGGCAATAGGAGTGAGTCAAAAATGGGTTTTATCAGTAAGAATAAATGTTGGTATTACTGCATTTGGGAGGCAGAGGCATGTGGATCTTTGAAGATTTGAACTAGCCTGATCCTACATAGTTCTAGGCCAACCAGGACTACATAGTAGCCTTATCTAAAAAAAAAAAACAAAACAAAAAAACAAAACAAAACACGAGTTAAGGCCAGGCAGTGGTAGACCACGCCTTTAATCCCAAAACGCTAGGAGGCAGACAGAGGTGAATGTCTTTGAACTCGAGGCCAGTCTAGGCCACATAGTGAGTTCCAGGACAGCCAAGGATATGTAGAAAGACCCTTGCCTCACCACCACCACCACCACCACCACCACCACCACCACCACCACCACCACCCAAAAACTAAGAAACTGAGTGGTTCAATACCTGTGATTCTAGTACTTAGGAGGCAGATCGAAGAGGGTCGCCAGCCAGAACTACAAGCAATTCCTACATTTTATATTAAAGTAAATGACTGGGCAGTCCAGAGCAGTTGCAGCTGTACCTGCCGAGGACCCGGGTTCCATTCCCAGCACCCATGTGGTGCCTCACAACAATCTACTTTAGTTCCAGGGGACCTGACAACTTTTCTGCTCTCCATGGGCATCGGGCATGAGTGCGGTGCCCATACATAAATACATGCCAGCAAGACCCAGGAAATTAAAGAACATCTTTTACAAGAGAACCCTAAAGTATAGGAAGGGGGAGCGCAGAAGGTGTATTGCCTGTTTGAGGGTTTATTGAAGAGGGGGAAATAGAATATACAGGTAACTTAAGATGGTGTTCCTGGGCTTGTTTTTGCTTTTTCATCTGAGGTTATGAGATGTGACTTTTAAGTGACACTTGTTCCCCCTCATTTCCTCCCAGTTATACGAAGCCTACAGCAGCATCTGTCGCAAACAGCAGGTGGCGGCTGTGGACCAGTCTGAGTGTTTGTCCCTGTCGGGACTCCTGGAGTCCAGAGGCATTTTGGGATTAAAGAAAAATAAGGAAAGCCGCCTGACCAAGGTACAGGTGACAGCTTATGGTGTCCCTGCTTTTAATTGTCCTGTTCTAGAGAGAGTGTCATTTGCCAGAGTAAAGATTAGAAATGACTAGTGAGCAGTTTGTTTTTCTGCTAGCTAGGGTTTCAGATGAGAGGGAGGGAGTGGTGTGATTTAGGCCATTGAAAACAGCAGGGTTTGACTTGCCAGTCCAAGGAACGTGGAATGTGATAGGGAGTGTAATGGTGTGTGTGTGTGGGTGTGTGTGTGTGTGTGTGTGTGTGTGTGTGTGTGTGTGTGTGTGCTTCCTCATGAAAAACCCTTTCCTCTTTCCAGGTGTCTCTGAAGATTGAAGAAAGGGAAATAGAGCATGTCCTGAAAGGCAAAGCTTTCATTGGTAATATCCTCGCTGGTGGACTGCCCTGAATGCTTCTCTCACCCCACCTGCAAGTATCCAGCTGACATTTGGCACACTGGGGAGTCTCCATTTTAGTGTATGGATTCATTGGCTCTTACTGTTTTTACTCATAAAAATGACTGAGTAGCTGGGTGTGATGGCATATGCCTGTAATCCCAGCACTTGGGAAATAGAGGCAGAAGGATCAGGAGTTCAAGGCCATCCTTTGCTACATAGTGAGTTTGAGGCTGGCCTGGACTACATAAGACACTCTAAAAACAAAACCAATGACCCTTTTAAAGTACTATTCGGTACCTTTTCCACTTCTGCACCTAACCAATGTGCCTGCAAGGACATACAGACTTGTGTTGAAGGATTTGTATGTATTATTTTTCTAAATACAAACGATATATTTTGTGAAGAACTTTGAGGTTTAAAGATGAAGTGGAATGATCCAGAAAAATATACAAGCCTCCAGGGAAATTTGAAGGACCTTTTGGTCAAAGGACTCTGGAGTTTACTACATTCCTGGACAGGTACTGCCTCGTTGGACTTTTTAAGGACTCGGGGAGTTTCTCTAGTGCTCCCACACAATGTGGGGTGATTAGGAGAATGTAACTGCAGATTGTGAATATATTTATTTTCAAGTTTCATTTTTGGGCTGCATTTGTTACCTTGGTCACCCATTTGTGTGTGGGCAGATGGGTGCCACTGTGTTCGTGTTGGGGACAACTGCAGAAGTCATTGTTCACCTTGCACCTTGCAGATCCCAGGGACTGAGCTCGGGGCACCAAGTGTGGCAGCAAGCACCTTTACTTTTGAGCCATTTCGTGGGCCTGCATTTGTTGTCTCTAAGTAGAGTCACATTCAGGGGAGTTCCAGTTTCGGGACAGCCAGAGCTACATAAAGAAACACTGTCTCAAAAAAAACAACAACAACAAACAAACCCCAGAAAAGGCCTTCTCATACTGTGCTAAGATCTTAGCTTCCCGCAGATGAAGCCGTTGTTTCAAAATGGCTCAGGTCAGGCCTGGATTTTCATCTGAACACTTCATAGTCTCCTTAGATAAATTTATCCATATGGTCACCGAGGACACTGCTGGGTTTGATTTCCAGCGGTTTAAGTGGCAATTTGTGACAGGGACAGCAGAGGGCACCATTATAACACTGCTTTGAAAGTGTGGGACTGGGCAGGGGTGGTTTTGGAGGGAAGGGGCAGGAAGTGGACTTGTTTGGGGAATTGCTATTCCTTTGTACCTGAGCAAAGCTGTAACAGTCAGCTGTAAACAGTGTGCTAGGGATGGTCTGAACCTCTTTCCTCTGAGAGAGGCTGCTGCCTCCTTGTCTGATCTGGCCTTGAGTTTGGGAATTTGATAGGTGCACAGAAGATCCGTTGGCCACTGTTTCATTCATTCTGCACACTGTATCCTTGTAAAGTGATCTGCTCCACAGCAGGTGGGGTGGGATGGGATAGAAGGGCAGTGAGCACTCTGAAATGCATACTGCCCACTGGTGTGTGTAGCAGAAGAGTCTAGATAGGAGTCTGGATGTCACACACACTCCTTTACTACAGTGTTCCTCCCCTCTGGGGCAATGTACAAGTGGAGAGGACGGTTCTCTACCAAGAAGTTTGGGAAATGTCTGGGACTATAAGGGTTAACAAGCATAATTGTAAAGATTGTCCGAAGACTGATGGAAAGCAGAGACTGAATGGGATTGAGAACAGATGTGAGGCTTGATTTAAATTACATTTTATTGGATGCTGCAGCCTTAAGAGACGTGACTGCTTTACAGTTTGTTTCCACACTGTGGGCAGCTGCTGTCTGTTCTGTGTCCACAGTAGGATCCTGCCCAAAAAGGAGCGGCCTCCCCACCTCGTTGTATTTGAGGCTTGGCGCCTTCCTCTAGCTGTGGGGCTTGAGTCGGGAACATGGCTTGACTCTCAGTGGGACTGTGCTGTATCCTCCCTGGCTTCTGGCCAAGATCACATTTGCGGATTCAAAGGGGCCAAGTTCCTTCCCCTCTCTACCTCTTTTTCTCAACGCTGTGCCCCCCCAGTTTAGAAATAGGGCTTTCTGTGTACTGTTTTGTTAGTTTCCTTCAGCTCCCCCCCCCAGTGCCCCCACTGACAATTTCTAGGTCATTGCCACTCTTAAGACTTCAGCAATTGGAATGGGGTTGGTTCTGTCAATGATGCGTGAAGCAGCCGAGAGTCCCTGCTTGGCTTCCGCTGCCCTTGTGGGAGCAGAGGCTGATGTATGTCAGTGAAGTCTTAAGTGTGATTCAGACGGCTGGCCGGCCGGGGCAGAAGGGAAGAGAGTCCTTTCCTTGCCCGCTTTTCTCACTGAGGCTGAGAGCTATGGGAAGGTGGTGGGAGTTTAAGTAGGATGGGACGGGCCTGTGGTTACGAGTTTTTGCCAGGATCATCGTAGGCCACTCCACATGGAGCAGTGGCAAAGAGGCTGACCTACATTTTTCCTTTTGAAGATGGTGGGGTGTGTGTGTCTATCCTGGTCTGTCTTTTTTTTTTAAGAACCAGATTAAGCGTCCATAGTGTTGGGTATTGCCGTGGAAAGAACATGGACCCAATAAAGTTGGTATGAATATCAACCCCAAACTGCCACTGACAGTTCTGGCTCCATGAAGACTTGCCTGTGGCTAGCTAACTGCAAGAGTGTGTGAGGTCCAGGCTAGCTACCCAGAAGTCAGGAAACCTGGCAGGCCCCTTTCCCTCCCCTCTCCCATTGCTCTTGCCCCCACCCCACCCCCAGCACAGGAACTTTACCGCTCGACTACTTCCCAGTCCTCCCCGCTTTTATTAAGTACCCTCTAAAGATACACAATAAGCTGGACCTGGTGTACAGGCCTGCAATCCCAGCTCTGCAGGAGGATCACAAGTTCAAGGCTTGCCTGGACTATAAGAGTGAGTTCAAGGCCAACCTGGAGAATTTATGAAAGAGGGCCAGCTCAGAAATAAGAGTGCTTGCCTGGCATACACCAAGCCCTGGGTTCAGTCCTCGGTGTGGAGACTGGGGGTGGAGAAGAAAGACACGGTAAGGGCCAGCAGCTTAAGCCGTGTTTGTGAAAATGCCTTCACTGAGGCCAGCTGGGGAGACTGTGCAGGCATGAGGCCCCAAGCTCAACCTCCAGGACACCCCACCACGGAGTCACACACTAGTAACCCAATCCCAGCGCTGGAGAGGCTGAGACAGGCAGACCCCTGGGGCCGAGGGCTGGCCAGTTTAGCCTACTGGTCAGGTCAGGTAAGTAAGAGTCGCCTCTGCAGTAAGAAAACAAGCCTGGCAGCTCCTGGGGAATGATACCTACGGTTGACCTTTAGCCTACACATGCACAAAATATCTTGACTGTTGACTGTGGGGAGCGGGGGAGCCAAAGTGGGGTTTTGTTGTTTATGGTTTTGGGGGATTGAACCCAGAGCGAGAATTTATTTACATTTGTGTCGGTCTCCCGCACTTAACTCTGGTAGCTAGCTATTCATTAACTACTTTTCCGTGAACAACACAAAGATACAGCCTTCCCCCCATCTTGAGAACAGTTCTCAGCTGGAGGTAAACTCCGCTGCCCAGGCACTCAGGTGGGCTGGGCCCCTGCAAAAGGCCTCCCAATTGCAGTTGCCTGGCATGTTCGTTGATCAGACCTCAGCCCTTGGGCTGGATGTCCTAGTAATTGGCTTCGGGCAATCTCTGTTGCTTCAGGGAGGCTTTGGCTATGGGTTGGAGACCTGGCCTGCAGGCTAGGAAGAGGTGGTTCAGTCCAGAAATTACCTAACGTCCCCAGAGATCTCCCAGCAAACGGCCTCTAGTCTGTAAGAGACTGGGGAAGAACCCACCTTGGATGTCCTACTTTCTGGCTTTGTGGGGGAAGTTAGCTCAGTTTCCTCCTGCCGGCTTCCCCTCCACAGAGGAAGGTGCGCGGGGCAGAAGTGTGCCCTCTGGTCTTCTCTTACTCCAACTCCACCAGTCCGGACCCTGCCGGTGGAAGCTAAGAGGGTGCAAGGAGCCTGGGTAGAGGCCGAAGTGAAGGCTGGCAAAAGGAGAGCCGGCTCCGTGTTGGCTTTTTTTTTTTTTTAATTTCTAATTGAGTTCTGAATCAGCCTCATTCGCTTTGATCCCTCCTCTGTTTCCCACACTGCCTGAAAGAGCTGGATCAGCACTTTGTAACAAGGGTGCGCCTGCTCCCCACACCCCCCCTCCCCGACGCTCTCTGCTGCCGCCATCCACGGCTTGTCTCCTTCAGTTAAGATAATGAAGATACTGAGAGATAAAATGTGTATTTAATAAGGGTGGGGGCAGGGAGGCGGAAAGGGGCAGCCAGGGCCTTCCCTAGTCTGGGGCCTCGCCAAGACTCCGGCTGAAAGCAAAGCTCGAGTAAGACTTGGCTTCGGGGTGTGGGGGTTTCTGGGCCTCAATCCAGCTGACTTCACTGCCTGCTGTTTGCCCTAAATTCCCCCACCTCCACCCTCTCACCGCCACACTCCTTCCCTCTCTGCTTGCTCCCAGTGGGAAGAAAAAGGAGTCTCGCTTGACTTTCTTTTCAGCTGGTAACTTGGCCTTTGCTGTGGTACCCCCCACCCCAGTGTCAGCTGCAAGGTCAGGCTAGGGCAGCCCCCTATAGCCTAGGCCTGTAGAAGCTGTGGGTTCACAGTGGGGGGCGAAAAAGCTGGAGTTAATGAAGGCCAGCTGCCCGGCTGGGTTCTGCCTACAGCTAGCTGGAGGCCAGCCTTCGGTGGTGGTTAGGTGGAGGGGGAGGGTGACCTCCATTCCTGGGTACAAGGATATCCTGTGGCAGCTGGGCCTGTGCTTCTCCGGGAGCTTGGTTTCATCCTCAGCTTGTTAGAGACGTCTGCTTCTCTCCTCCTCGGTTCCCCCCCTCCCCAAATAACACTGGGCTCTCACTGAGCTTTCTAACTGTAGTGGTGGCCCAGCTGAGATCTGAGGATCTCCAAGCCCTTTGGTAAACACTCATTAACTGCCTGGGAAGAAGCCGGAGTCCTGTTTAACAGCTGGGAGAGAACTGAGGCACATTAGGGTGAAAGGCTTGACCTGAGCTCACCCCGCAGACTCCACCCTGGGGCTTCCATCCATGCCGTCTAGCTCCTTCCAGTTCTCCCTGCAAGACGGTGAGCTTGGAGACTCTGCTGCTGCCCTCTGCCCTTCTAGGAAGAGGCCACTGCTCTCTCCCATCCCTCAGTATGCCCTGGACTTCTCCTGGCCCTTCACTCCATGACATTTTCCCCGCATCTGCTGCTGCTGTTGGAAATAGTACGCAACACTCCTTGCAAAATGTTCTCAGTCCAGCGCTCTGCAGACTCCTCGGACCTCTCTCCACTGTCCACCTGGCCCACCATGCCTGAATTTCTCTTTCAGGGTGACCAGAGAAGGAACAACCTTGGAGAAAGCCCATTATCCTCTACTAGAGAGCCAGTGACCTCGAAGTTGACCTACTGTGTTAAGAGATGTCTCTGCCCCAGAACAATACCTGGGGAAATACCCTTTAACGTGTTCATTATGGTAATAAAGACTCAAGGTCCTGTTGAGGGCTGAGCAAGGGCGCTGGCTGACTTCTAGGTTCTGTGTCTTATGCATCCCCTGCTCATTGCCATCTCTGGTACTAGATGTATCCGAAGACGTCCCCTCCTCTCCTGTCCCACCTGCTCAGCCCCTCCTATACCTGAGTGCACGCCACAGGCTCCCTAGTACACCATAGTGGGCCCTGTAGTCTAACAGCCTAACCCACAGTCTCCGGCTGCCATGGAGACATCCGGCCCTCTTGCTGAAGACCAAGGTTTCTCCTGGGATGGTTCCTTAGGCACTTAGGAATAATGGTGTGGGATGAGTAGACCGATATAGTCCGAAAAAGAGGACAGAAGCGGGTGTGTGTCTGTCTAAAAGGACAGACATCCCTGACATTCCCATAGCTGAGATAGCTAAATAGCCCAATGGGAGTGGCAGAGAATAAAGTCCTCAACCCCATCCTCGGTGCCCAAGGCCAAATCCATAGGCTCAGGAGAGGCAGAAAGAAATGTCTGTTTGTCGTGTGGTGTGTCTTGAGATCTGATACCGCTCCTGGCCCCTACCCATGCTCAGATCCCCCCATCTTTCTTCCAGTGGGTTAGCTTTCCTC